AGGCTTCCACTTCAGGGGACTTGGGTTCGATCCCTGGTCAGGGAACTAAGATCCTGCAAGCCATGCAGTGTGGCCAAAAACAAACAAACAAAAATAACACACAAAAAAAACAATAAACCTCCATATCTAAAAGTTTAGAAGCTCAGAGGGAGAGGCTAGAATGAGCACCCTTAGGAATTAACGCTGTCCCAAGCTTTCTACTGTTCCTCTTGCTTCTCTTGGCCCTCCTGGGTCCCCTTTGCTGCTCCCCTCCTGGAGCAGGCCATTGCAAGCTCACTGACTCATGCCTCTCCCCCTACACAGTCTCCAGCATTCTCACAGCCCATTCTCAGAGATTTCGCCCCTGCACCGCCCACATTCCAAACCTCAGTGTGGAATTTCCCCACATCCACTTACATGTTCTGAAACTTCAAATGTGTATGGTTCAAAAGTGAACTCATAGGGCTTCCCTGGTGGCGCAGTGGTTGAGAGTCCGCCTGCCGATGCAGGGGACACGGGTTCATGCCCCAGTCCGGGAAGATCCCACGTGCCGCGAAGCAGCTAGGCCCGTGAGCCATGGCCGCTGAGCCTGCGCGTCCGGAGCCTGTGCTCCGCAACGGGAGAGGCCACAAAAGTGAGAGGCCCGCGAACCGCAAAAAAAAAAAAAAGTAAAAAAAAAATGATGGCTTAGATATACACTGGTTGACATAGAAAGATATTCTCAATGTATTGGATTGAGTTATTTAAACAGCATGTTATAAAACACTATAAATATTCAAATGTTCTAATCTATTTTACAATGTCTTCATTACTTTTTAGTTACTTTTGTAATAAAATAACTAGTCGTATTGTGGATAATAGATAAATGAGCAAAGTACTGAGATAATTCACAAATGAAGAAATAAAAATGGCCAATAGGGACTTCCCTGGTGGCACAGTGGTTAAGAATCCACCTGCCAATGCACGGGACACAGGTTCGTGCCCCGGTCCGGTAAGATCCCACATGCTGCAGAGCGGCTGGGCCCGTGAGCCATGGCCGCTGAGCCTGCGCGTCCGGAGCCTGTGCTCCGCAACGGGAGAGGCCATAACAGTGAGAGGCCCGCGTACCGCAAAAAAAAAGAAAAAGTGAACTCATAGAGCATCCACGCAACCTCCAGATTTGAAGTCTCCATGCACAGCAGCATCCCTGAGACCCCCTCCAGATGTTCAAGCAAGAGACCCGGGACCCACCCTCAGCCCCTCCCTCTATAGTACTTTCCTGGCCAATCTATATGAAGTCATCCTGAACGCCCCTGGAGGCTCTATCTTGCTCTCCACATTCTGGGCCAGTCCCTCCTGCACCTGAGCCACAGCAGGGCTCCTTCCTGGCCTTCCCCTCCATACTTGCCCCTCTTTCATCTATACTCACTTCAGCCAGCCTGATTTTCTTTAATGAGAATTTTCCCTTGTCTCTTTTTTAAATCTTTCTATCCATTGTCCACACTGCCTCCAGAGTGGTCTGATTTTTATTTATTTATTTGTTTATATTATTTTTTTTAAAGAATCATCTTTTTTTAAAATTTATTTATTTTTGGCTGCGTCAGGTCTTCGTTTCTGCACGCGGACTTTCTCTAGTTGCGGGGAGCGGGGGTTACTCTTCGTTGCGGTGCGCGGGCTTCTCATTGCAGTGGCTTCTCTTGTTATGGAGCACGGGCTCTAGGAGTGTGGGCTTCAGTAGTTGTGGCACACGGGCTCAGTAGTTGTGGCTCGTGGGCTCTGGCACACAGGCTCAGTAGTTGTGGCGCACGGGCCTAGTTGCTCCGTGGCATGTGGGATCCTCCCGGACCAGGGCTCGAACCCGTGTCCCCCGCATTGGCAGGCGGATTCTTAACCACTGCACCACCAGGGAAGTCCCAGATTTTTATTTTTAAAAGATAGAAATCCTTCTCTGCTCTAGTCTTTTGGGGGGTCTCCAGATGCCCCTAGAGTCAAATCAAATATGGAAAACCACATGCCACCCTAAGTGTCCATCGACAGATGAATGGATAAAGAAGATGTGGCATATATATACAATGGAATTACTCAGCCATAAAAAGAAATGAAATTGAGTTATTTGTAGTGATGTGGATGGACCTAGAGTCTGTCATACAGAGTGAAGTAAGTCAGAAAAAGAAAAAATACCGGGGCTTCCCTGGTGGCGCAGTGGTTGAGAATCTGCCTGCTAATGCAGGGGACACGGGTTCGAGCCCTGGTCTAGGAAGATCCCACATGCCGCGGAGCAACTAGGCTCGTGAGCCACAACTACTGAGCCTGCGCGTCTGGAGCCTGTGCTCCGCAACAAGAGGGACCGCGATAGTGAGAGGCCCGTGCACCACGATGAAAAGTGGCCCCCGCTCGCCTCAACTGGAGAAAGCCCTTGCACAGAAACGAAGACCCAACACAGCAAAAATAAGTAAATTAATTAATAAACTCCTACCCCCAACAACTTCTTTAAAAAAAAGAAAGAAAAAATACCGTATGCTAACACATATATATGGAATCAAAAAAAAAAAAAAAAAGGTTCTGAAGAACCTAGGGGCAGGACAGGAATAAGGACGCAGACATAGAGAATGGACTTGAGGACACGGGGAGGGGGAAGGGTAAGCTGGGACGAAGTGAGAGAGTGGCATGGACATGTATACACTACCAAATGTAAAATAGATAGCTAGTGGGAAGCAGCCGCGTAGCACAGGGAGATCAGCTCGGTGCTTTGTGACCACCTAGAGGGGTGGGATAGGGAGGGTGGGAGGGAGACGAAAAGGGAGGAGATATGGGGATATATGTATACGTATAGCTGATTCACTTTGTTATAGAGCAGAAACTAACACACCATTGTAAAGCAATTATACTCCAATGAAGATGTTAAAAAAAAAAAAAAAAAACACCATGCCAGAGCCGAAGGGAAAAAAGGGAGTGAGCGTTCATTCATTGGTTCTTATTCCCAGATAGGACAGGGGAAGGGGGAGGAAGAGGACAGATGGGAATGTGTATGTGTGTGTGTGTGTGTGTGTGTGTGTGTGTGAGAGAGAGAGAGAGAGAGAGAGAGAGAGAGAAAATGAGATAGAGAGGTCTTAGCAGGATAAAGAGTGAGAAAGAAGAGCCATTAGAAATCGGAAGAGATTTCAGGTTAGATACCGCATCACTATTCTAAAATAGCCTTCTGATAGTCCAACAATAACTACATAGAAAGTATTATGTTTTTAAAAATACCACCCATTTCTAAGACAAAAAAATATATTATAAATGCACTCCCCAAGGCATATGCAAAATCTGAATGGAGAATCCTGGTTGTGTCCTGAAGGACTTGAAGGAAGAGCTACTCCTGGATGAGAGGACTCTGTCCAGTGACTCTGTGAATGTGACACAGTGCCAGTTAAAGTCCCAGGGAGATTTCCTGAGGAATGTAGCAAATTGAGAACTAACCCTTTCATTTATTAAAATATTCTAAAGCAGATGTAAAGACAAAAGTATGATGACCCATAGGTGAACAGAGCAAAGAGTTAAAGATACAGGTCTCAAAACAGGTGAGAATAAATTATATGATGGAGCTGGTATTTCAATTCAATGGAAACAAGGTAGATTACTCCATAAACAGTTGTAAGGTGATTGACTATACATCCATGAAAAAAAAAAAAAAGTCTGAATCCTATCTCATTATCTGCATCAAAACAAACTCACAGGTTTAAATATAAATATTGGACACATTAAAAAGTGCTTGAAGCAATCATGGGTGACTATTTCCATAATCTTAGAATTGGATTGACCTGTGAATACCAAGTCCCAAGGACACATTTGATTTCTTAGAAATGTAAAACTTTGGGTCAGTAAAGTAACACTATGAACAAAGTCAGTAGACAACAGAACTCCTGAAGAACAAAGGCTGAGGTTGGACCAGGGTCTGATCCAGGGTCTGCAGCAGAGGTGACAGAAGCACCACGGCACCGGCCCCTCCTCAGATCCCTCTTTTTTGAATGCGTGGAGGGACTGATCTGATTCTAGCATGCCTCTCCCCCCCGCCTCCCCCTCCCTATCTCCTAGGTATGATGCAAGGCCCAGAGAAGGCTGGAGTAAAGCCTTAGAGAAAGTTTCACGGCGCCCCTGGAAGTTAGGTATCCGTCCTTTCAAGCTCACCTTTACAGAAACCCAAGTCATAATTATTCCATCCTCCCAGAGTAGAACTCTGGAAACCACAGTCAGCAGTTGACTTCTCACCTCTTCTTTATCCCCTGTATTCAAGCTGTCATCAATCCTAGTACATCTTTCTTCAAAATGACCTTTGGGTTTAACCTTCCTCCTCAAATTCCTCTGCCTACAGAGTGTGTGATTTCAGTCTGATTTTATTGCAAAAGTCTTCTACCTGGAGGCCTGTCCTTCACTGCCAGTGGGGCCCCCTCACCCTTCAGTCTGCTTATAAAACACCAATTCCTTGACAGTCATTCCTTTGCTGAAGCATTTGTAGATATTTCTCCATTGTCCATGCAAACAGGTCTGTACCCACTTTCTCTGGCTCATTGGTACCACAGGTCACTGATTGTCTTATGGGTCCCCTAAGATACAGCTGCACATGTCCCAAAGCCAGGACTTACCCCCTTCTCCTTCACTGCTACCTTTCCTCCAAACTATCTTAGCTGCTTCTGTTACCCAGGGCCAATCTTCATCCTCATCTCCATCAAAACAATAGCCCCCAGGGGATATTTTAAAAATCTGTCAAACTTGGGGTGGTGGTTGAAATGCTAGAATAATCAGTTTTATCCTCTTCGACAATAGTGACCGGACATAATGATCTAAGTCTCACAGAATTACACTACATAGACACAAGTCAGGTTAATGGGGAAATTTTGTTCGAAGTTCTTATGCCTTTTCTTTTTTTTTTTTAATTTGTCTGCCAGCTTCACTATTTACTTGATATGTATATTTAAACAAGTTACTTCACTCCTCTGAGCCGAGGTTTCCTATTTGGGGAAGGGAGAATAATACTGCTACCTCCCTTACAGGGGCGGAGCGGGAAGGAGTAAGAAATCGAATAACGCAGGCAAATGGGCTACTTCAGTGGGCGTCCTATCCAGAAGACTCAGGACAATTGGGTCCTTCTGCGCCTGCCTCCCCCCACCAGCGTTCCCAGAATGAGGAGGGCAGGGCAGGAAAGTGCCAGTCTTTCCACCCTGAAGGTCTGTATTTACGATGCCCACGTGCCTCACCCCAAACACAGAAGCCCCGCCTGGGGAAACTCAAATAGCTGCTCCAGCCTAAGGATGACAGGCTGAACTCCAGCCGGCATTCGTCGACTATAAACAGGACCACTTTGCTGAGTTCTGCAGAGAAAGGAAAAAGGTAACAGGCAGAGAAAGGAAACTAAAAGAAAAAGAGGAAATGAATCACTTTCTGAGCCTTAGACCTCAACAAACACAGAGCAGGCTGAGGAGTGACGGCGAGGGGAGTCGTCGGTTCATCGTCAGGTGACTTTGTTGTTTTTTTTTTTTTTTTGACCTGTCTCCTGGGAAATATGCGAGAGTAAATATCAAAATGTATGTGACTAAATAAAATTCTGGCGGGAAAGGGGCGTGGGATCGGAAACCAAGAGTCTCGCCGTCTCCTTTCCAGGCTCCAAGGACTCTTGGAGGTGGAGCTAAAGGAGGCCTGGGCTCAGGCCCCCGACCTTTGGAGAGCTGTGGCCAAGGGGAGGAAGGGAAGCCGTGATACAGATTTTGTCAGTTTTCACATCGCTGCTTTCAGATATTAACTTCGATTCCTGAGTGCAGGAACGATTCCAAGTTTGAGGGCCAGAAATCTGCTCTGCCACTTAAAACCTAGTATATTCTTATGCAAAGGACTTCCCTGGGGTCCGAGTAGCCCATCTGTTAAATGCTAGTCCTAACCCTGTACCTACTTCATAAGTTTGGGAAAAGATTAAATAGGTGAGACAGTATATTTAAAAATATATATGGTATAAACTGTAGAGTAAGGGACATATATGATTGGTATTGTTAGGCCAGCCGTTCATCATTTAGGATGTGGTTATAAAGTTGTAACTGTAACACTGATAAAACATGGCAGTTCCAAGAATTAAAAATAAACGCGTTTTTTTTTTTAAAGAAATCAGTAACTGTGTGCTTCTTAGAAGGAGAATGAGTGGTTGGTGGAAAGGGATTTGAGGGGCGTGTATTCATATTAACTGCTCAGAGAATACGCAAAGGCAACTGTAAAAAGGGTAAGTACATTGCTGTCTATTCCCACCATGGAATCCTATACAGTACCCAGAATAAATGATCTACAACCATCCAGACGACGAAACATGGATCACTACGACTATATGGAGCGAAGCAAGTCAGATACAAGAGCACAGAGTGTGTCAGATGTAGAGAACAAACGTATGGACACCCAGAGGGAAAGCAGCAGGGGGCGAGGGCGCAGGGTTGGGGTGGGATGAACTGGGAGATTGGGATTGACATGTATACACTCATATGTATAAAACAGATAACTAGGGCTTCCCTGGTGGCACAGTGGTTGAGAGTCCGCCTGCCGATGCAGGGAACATGGGTTTGTGCCCCGGTCCGGGAAGATCCCACATGCCGCGGAGCTGCTGGGCCCGTGAGCCATGGCCGCTGAGCCTGCGCGTCCGGAGCCTGTGCTCCGCAGCGGGAGAGGCCACAACAGTGAGAGGCCCGCGTACCGCAAAAAAAACCCCAAAGCAAACAAACAAAAAAACAGGTAACTAATAAGAACCTGCCATATAAAAAAAAAATTCAGAAAAGGAAAGCGTACAGAGCATGCGCTCTCAGCTGTGAAAAGCTCTAAATGCGGCACAACTAGTCTGTGCTATTAGAAGTCCTGACAGTGACTACGCTGGGAGGAGTTAGAGACTAAGAAGTCACGGAAGGGTTTCTGAGTTGTTGATAATCTTCCATTTCTTGATCTGGGTGCTCTTCGTGTGGGTGTGCTCAGTTTGTGAAAACGCATCACACTCTTTTCTGTCCGTGTGTTATACATGCATTCAACGTATAAATAAATAAATATTGAAGAGGCGGTAGGAGCCATGCTAATGGGACTCACAGAGAAATGATACAACTATAAAAGAAATTCTGATTCAAGCTTTTTCAGTATTCACTAGGTGGTATCCTTCGATCTCTAAGTGGCGGTTTAAGAAATTCACAGAGGCTGGCATTTGTTAGCGGCAGCAGACATGAATATATAGAGCCAAATGTGATATTAAAATCCGAGTCCAGGTGAACTGGTATCTTTTTCAGTCCAACCAAGTAATAGAACAGTGAAATAAAGATCTATGTATGATTGGGAAACCTGTCAGGATCTTGAAAGGAAGAGGTGGCAATATTAAAATATTAGAACCTAGAAGTGTGAGCGTAAAAGACAACTTTATATTCCTCAGAAATGGAAAATGTCACCATATAGTGTAGGAAACAGCAGTAAGTATCCAAAGTAGAAGTCAGGTGAAATATGAGATTGGCCATCTCATCTCAGTGGCCATCAAGATGAAGACAACAGGTCTAACCACTGTACCTTACAACCTCAATCCCGGGGCTAAATGGTATAGGCACAAAGCTGGTAGACAGTGGGGTCGTGGTTTGACCCTAGATCCTTGAAGTCCAACATCCAAGCATCCTGGCCCTCTCTCTGTCTCCAGATCACATGCAGCTCTTTCTTTGCTCAGAGCTTTAGCCCTTATTTGTACTTGCCCTAGACACTGTGGAGGGTGATCTCTCTTATCCTCCAGATCCTTCCTGAAATGCCCTTGAGAACTTCTCTGCCACCTAATCTGAAATAGTTTTCCCTCTTGATAGCCATTCCTTTCTTGCTTTCTTTATAACAAGTCAGAAACCGTAGTTGCTTAATTTCCTGGGTGGCGGTATTTGTATTTATCAGTCTCCCAAACTAGACCACAAGCTCAGTGAGGAGAAGGCCACGTTCTCTGTGTCTCCCGCTCTTCTTCCTGCACCTGGCACGGAGAAGATGCTCAACAGATGACTATTTTAAATAAATCAGCCTTAACTTGTGCTGGGGGAACATGAGGTGTCCGATCCCACAGACCAAGAGCAGTAGCTGTAACCTCAGTCTGCTACGTGTTCTCGAATGAGAAGCTTCCTCTCTCTGGACCACTGTTTCCTCGTGTGTAAAATAAAGGCTTGGAGCGATTACCTGCTCTCTAAATGTTCTCCATTCTAATTCCCACTCCCTAAATTAAACTAATTCACAACAACCTGTGAGTGGCTGGTGGCTTATTACCATTCCCAGAGAGGGCTGCATTTTAAATAGATAATGCTCCATGTTAATCTCTATTTTTAAGCTATCAAGCAGCATGATAAGTGAAAACAGTGGAACTGATTGGAGAGAGATAATTTTGGTCAGAGGGCAGCCTAGCCTGAAAGTCTGCCCCTATGAGTCAGCTGCACTCAGAGTTCCTGCTTTTCTCAGCGTCAGCTTCTTCCCTTCTGATTTCAACTGAGACTTCAAAAGGACGAGGATTTTTAAAATCGTTCCTGCCCTTCCCCCCTTCCAGGACGGCAGCAGCCCCTCTGAAGTCCTTCTGTCCCAGCGGGGGCCTGATCTCTAGAAACCCCAGATTTCTACTTTCCAAGCGTGGGGTTCTATCTGGTGGGCAGACGCTGTGGTTTCGCATGTGGGGTGATAATCATCTCTTGCCAAGCCTCCAGTTATTCATCGGGTTACCCTTCCAGAACTCAAAGTGTCCTAACCAGGAAAATTAATGTCTGAGCGACAGGGACAAAGGTTGGCTCAGAAGAACAAAGAGAGGAAGCATTCGGTAGTAATAACAATATTGGTTTCTGTGGCAAAATGTAGAACTTGCCCAGGATGGCTTTGTTCACGGTCTCCTCTTGAGTTGTTTTGATCCAGTTGTTATAAAAATCTGTAGCAGTGAGGGCTCCCCTTCCCACTGCTCTCCTTACACACACACACTGTCTCTCTCTCTCTAATCTGAGTCCTCCAGAGCTCTAACCAAGGGCTCTGTGATCGGCCCAGCTGACCCTCCCTCCTGATGAAAGTGAGGGTACATTTTGTCTAGTCACAGGGACCCCACCCTTGTTTTTTCCTTTGGCTATCATTTTCCTCCTGGCAGCTGGGCTTCGAGGTGGCCCTCTTTGATGCCTGTGTCATAACTAACCCCAAGGGATGTTGCTGTCAGGCTGTACTGGACACCTGCATCTCCATCACCAGCATCGAAGAGACGATTGAATGACTGATTGAATGACTTTGGGCATTGTTGCTTCAGCCAGTGTTTTCTTTCATCTCAGCCTCAAAACTCAGCCTCCCTGCCCTAAAGGTTTATTACCAGAGGAGTTTATTTAAATAAATAGCCCCTAAGCCAAAATATGCCAGCTCCCACCTCATAGAATCGTTTTCTTTTTTTCGTGGGTCCCATATTCCAAGAGATCTGGGCGATTTCCAGGGCCATCACCATTAATACGCTGAAAGACAAAGGTCCAAGAAAAGACCACAGAGTTTCAAATATAAGAGAGACCTGTCAGTATCAGTATGACTTGTGAAAAAGTGCACCCTCCCTCAATGTTTTTTAAGAAAGGATAATGCCACACACGGACAGAACAAACTTATCTTTCTTGGCAGAGTTCGCCTTCTACGTTTTTGCCTCCAGAGCAAAACCGAAACTTTCTAGTTCTAGATCAATCTACATCATGGCCACCACCCCCGCTACTCGATAGGAGATCAGGGGACCAAGAACACCTGCATCTCCTGGGAACTAGAAATGCAGACCCTCAGGCCCCGTTCCAGACCTACTGAGTCAGAATCTGCATTATAACAACATCTCCAGGGGATTCGTATGTACCTTAAAGTCTGAGAAGCACTGCTAGCCTCACTCACTGTTAACTTTTTTTGAACTAGCACGGTGCGATCTGAGAGAATTTAGAGGTGTTTCTGTGCCCATAACAGGCCGAGGTCAGGCATTTACACAACAGTTGGAAACGAGAAAGTGCATTGATTTCCATGCACTTAGCAATTTAAAAAATTTAAACAAAACAAAACCTCTGTTGGAATGTGTAAAACTTGTATTTTCTCATCCTTTTCCTGTTTGATGTGTTTGGACTTATTGGTAAAAGGAGGATTTGGGTTTTATTTTTGTCATATTTTTGCAAGACAGAGGAAGCATAATTTGCTCCCAATCCTAACAAATTCACACGTGGTAGACAAATTTTAAATGCTTTAAGAGCTTTTGTAAAATAAGTAAGTAAATAAACGGGATGTTTAATGTTAGTTATCTCTGGGAAGGAGCAGGGCTGATTAATTGGGTATTTGGGGAGGGGGCGTGGGATGCTCTGAGCTGGCTTTTTGTAGACTTTGGGGCATCAATGTACACACCTTTAAAATAACCACCATTGTATTGTCTTGTAGTGGGGACTTGAGAGGCTCCCCTTTGACTAGATCTTAAACAAGTTAACGATGCACCGTTTAGATTACTTTTGTACTT